GCAGTTTTTGCTCCAAGCTGAGCTGCGATATCCTGTCTACCCTAGAAAGCAACGCCTCAGGCGATATGGGTTTCAAGATTGGAAAAGACGGTCTCGTGGCTTGAACACCCTTCGTTTGTGCCTCGGGGTTTGGATCCTGGCTAATAGAATGTGGCTCAACCCACTCGGCAACCTTTGTGTGTATGTCTTCAGGAAGACTATGAGACAGAGGGCTCAGCTCTCGGTCCGTGGCAAGGTCATCCGTAAGACGATGGGTTTCTGTCATTCCAGCCCCAGGAAGCTTGACGTCTCTCCTCAGAGAATGTATAGGCATATCGAAGCCATTTGTGGCAATGCCATCGCGAGCAAGCGAGCGGTCTCGGGAAGGCTGTCGGACTTTTGCCCGACTTGTCTCTCCTTGCAAAATTTCCCATCTTTGTTGAGCTGCAGTACGCTGAAGATTTCTTGATCCAACTGCGAGGTGTTCCATGATATGCTGCGAGTGATGGAGGTTCTCGGCATGTTGGTATAGTTGATCTATTTTTCTCCCTAGCGGGTCTTGAAGTGGCGAATGCTTTCGCCCTGTTGGTTCTTCTTCCATATCGACCACTTCAAGAAGTTGAGAGTCGGTAGCCTGCTTTGCAGTGCTTCCACGCACCGTACCCCCAATGCTGTGCCGGATTGACTGACGACCGGCGTGGGTTGCCTTGGAGCTGGGATTGGTGCCCTTCCCTTCGCTGGTTGACTGGCCTGAAGACCGCTGCATTCCTCGGCGAGGGACACAGTCTGACAGACGAGCAGGTCGATTTGCTCGTGCATTTCTCGCAGTGGTTGTCGGTTCTGTGGCACCAGATTTTGCTAGTCTGTCTGCTATGAAGAATGGGTTGTTCTTCACAGATCGACCCGAGACGATGGGTTTAGGCACCAAAGGTGAGGGCTGTGTCACAATTTCGTCTTCTACTGGGGTTTGCATGCCCTTGAAAGAGATGCTCTTAGGTTGAGGTTGTGCTTTGGGTGTTTCGATGCCTGTCCCTGATCTGGAAGACCCTTGGTGGCGGACTGTATGAACAGTAACGTGAGTAGAATGCACATGATCCTGGTCCGAGTTTTGGGCATGATAAAGGGTTTGCGTAGCCAAGTGCTGGAAAGTGCTTCCTTCATGTTGTCGTATAGATTCGTGTGTCTTCTCCAGCTCATCGTCCGGGATCTCGCTTGTGCACTTTAAACACGAGTCGTGACCACAATGGGGGCAGTATTTTCGCGATGCCAATGGCTCCCCACAAGAATGACACACCCGAAACACTTTCATATGCGGCGTCTCTGGCGTTCCCAACACAGCCGATACATCCTCCGAAAGCCAACCTCCAGGTCGAGAAATTCCGTACTGTTCAAATATCTCCATGGCATCTTGTATCTTCCCTGTTGTGCTCACCGAGGCAGAGTCGTGGGTTGGTCGTGAAGAGGTTGGGAGATATGAGCCATGGGGAGAGGACGACTGTAGCAAATCAGCCGTGAGAGGGTCATCCAGGCGATCTCTGTGTGACAAAACCGATTCGTCGTGATGATGCTCGAGGGTGTGTGAAGTCCTCAGCTGGCTCCTCGACGTGCTGGATCGTAACTTTCCAAGATTGGCCTCTGAGAGATCGAGTCGGTCGACCCTGGAGCTGACCCGCTCCTCAAGTCCATGACCATGTCGGTGACTCTTCCTCTGCGACCTTATCCCGTGGTAGGTCTCCTCCAGCGGCAAACTCGGCCGTTCTTCCACCAGGGTATTGCGCGACGCAGGCTTCGCGAAGCCACTGTCTACTCGCCGTCCCTATCCGAGAGTGGTACTTTCTCGTTCCCGCTGCGATGTGGACAGCTCTTGGTCATCGAGAGCTTGCTTGTCTGCGAGTTTCCTCAATCGGCGGATGCGGTCGCCAACAATTCCGGAGGGAATGCGCTCATCGGCAACGGCTGGTTGATCATTCATCAATGCTAGGCTTCTCCTGGCTGAGAGCTGACAGGGAGGGTTGAATGAATGTGCCATTGCCTCGAAGGAGTGAGTGCTGGCAATGGCTCTAAGAATTGTAAGGATACGAGAGATAGCATGCCACGTGTTGGATTGGAGAGAAAGTGTTGTGTAGGAATTTGGAGGATGTTGAATCAAGGTTTAGAGGGGATGGCAGACTCAGGCACGGAAAGGGAAAGCGGTCCGGTATCGCACCGGCCATATCGGCAACGTGACGACATAATTATAACATGCAGAAGGAGGGATTCACGCCAGATAATCGTAAAACGTATCAGAATCGGTAGCACAACCATGGCTGATATCAATTGTCTCGGCTCGTTGCTAGGAAGGGATAGAAGATTGATGTACAAGGGTCTCCGTCACCATAAACGCTGTACACATTTATTTCACATGAGCGGCCAGGGTCTCGAGGACCTATTTCAACGTTAGCAAAACAATCAATTGCAAGGGACTTGCGCATTCCACGTACCTCCAGCTCAATCTTGGCCTCGGCGATATCCTGCTCGCTGCCACTGCCGTTCGCGATCTTGGTGGCTTCGGTGATCTGGTTCTTGACGGCCTCGGCGCTGAAGTCCTCCAAGGGGAATCCCTCAACAGCGTTGATGCTCAGGATGGAGTTGGGCTGGACAGTAGCGAATCCACCAGACACTGTAATCCATCAGCGATCATTCCTCGCGGGTTATTGAAGGGTGGGCAACGTACGGAAGAACTGCTTGGCACCACCGGTCTCCTCGATAATCTCAACCAGGCCGGGCTTAAGCTGCTCAATCGAAGGAACGTGGTTTGCCAGGACACCCATCTCACCAGACTCGGCGGGGATGTTGACCTGGACGACGTCCTGGGACTTGTAGATAGCCTGCATGCGGCAATTAGCACCCTTGTGTCAATTGGCACGCAAACGCGTCGCAGAGCTCCAATTCAATCGTATCGCATCCAATTTCGATCGGGCGTCTCGGGCGGCATCATACCTCGTGGGGAAGAGCCAGGCTCAGCTTGATCTGTACAATCGGTTAGTTGGTCGGGTTGTGAAGGCAATAGCTGAAGGTCTGCTTGCCTTGTCGGGAACGGCCTCGGCGTACGTTCGTCGCTGGAGGGGGACTCGGATAGTGGCGGGGCGTGCTCGGAGAGCCACGCGAGCGAGGCGGAGGGAGTTCATGATGGGCTGAACTGGTGGATGAAGTTGTTGCTTGCGTGAGCTCAAATGAGGCAGCTGGCACGAATCTTTGCCGGAGCAGCAATTGCGATTCGGCTAACGGGAAAATCCGACGGAGATACGCACGTGCACAGTCACATGAGCTCTTCTTTCTGGGGAACCCGCCAGCCAACCCCACTCATCTCTGGAGCAGAGGGACTCAGAACTTCAGGAATGCAATACCAACTTGACGAAAGAAACTAAAACAGTAGCAGATAGAGGGTAAGTTGAGCTGATAATTCTGTTCCGAAACTTATGGGCCGTGAAATTTGACTTGGTGTGCAAGCAAGCAGTGGCCCACTATATCGATTTACGTGAAAGAGTTCCAAAGAATAGTTCAGCTGAGATCCAGCCCAACTGGAATAAAATCATGGACTGTCCGAATTTTCTAGCCACAGATGCGCCAATTTGCGTTTAAACTAGTAGAAGACACTCTTCCTTAACTAATAGATACATCCAGCAGCCGTCCCTATTTTCGCCGTTCCATTTGCGAACGCTTGCACAGTAATTCCGTTGGTCCGTAATTCCCAAAGAGCCGATCCGACAGGCCGGTGTTAGTCCCGATTTTCTTTGTTCATCAAGGCATAACGTTACTTGAAGACTTGCATTGATCTTCCTTCCTGAGCCACGCAACGACCACAATGCTAATTTTTATTAAGATGATATCCGCCATGGCGTTACTAACTGTGTATAAGAACATGAAGACACAGGGCTTCCGCCGAGAAATGACAGTCTATCCCCGCCCACATATTGACTCAGGACTTGTTTCTGCCATTTAAGCAACTATGACTTAGTCTATTGAGCGGCGCACACTTGCGCAAAGAGGTGAAGATATAGTCTTGCGTTCGGTAACAGGGCTTTGCCAATATTTGGAGTTTTAGCTATTTGAAGCGATTCATCAATGATTTCGCGTTTTTACTTTGTTTTTTCGCCTTAGTTCAATGCACTGTACTAGCGGACAACTATGGGATTCTTTGATGTTTTAAAGCTTGTCCTTCAACGTACCCGGACATATAAATGGTAGAACGACTCACGATTCTACAACAAGGCAAACTCAGCTTGTACTATTATGTCGGAAGCCTTTGAATTTTTTTTTGCTACTTTGCATGACTACGGTCTAAGCGTTATCAATGATTTCGTGGTGGTATCCGACTTCAATTTAGTTCGTAAATTAAGTATGGAAACGTTCAGCTTTATCTACAATATGGTGCTAATTAAGAGCGCAAAAACCACAATTGGACAGATAGCTCAGCGGTAGAGCGAGGGATTGCAGATCCCTAGGTCGCGTGTTCGATCCACGCTCGGTCCTCTCTTTTTGCACTTTTCCCTTTTTGCTTTTCCGTACCTAGGCTTATCCACCATGCACTTAAAAAGCCATGAAAACAATTATATCATAATTGCTCTATGGAGCATTTATTCCACGAATTCTCATGTCGGTAGTTACAATTAATGTCCTGTCCTTGAGATAACCTCAAAGACTCATTGTTATACTTATTGTTTTGCTCACTTATGCCCTTAAATTTTAGCACAGAGCGAGCTTCATTGCTGCTGGTCATTAAGAGGCAGAGCATATCTTTTTTGGAAAATGGACAGTGCTATGTCTCTACTACATACAACCAGCTGCTCCATGGCTGCTTTCGAAGCCTAGTCGTAGTCCGGAGTCCCAGTTGTTACCCCATTCATTCATAACAATGGTGACCTTGAAACAGCGTATCAGGCCGTAGTTAACAAATTAGGCCCATACGACGCGGTTCCAAACAGGAGCAAAATGTATAGACTCCCACATGCGGGAAGGACAGGAATCAAAAAGTAAAAGCAAGGACCGAGCGTGGATCGAACACGCGACCTAGGGATCTGCAATCCCTCGCTGATATCTTGTGTCAGTTCAGTACCAAGAGCAAAGTGAGACATTCAGAACATACCTCTACCGCTGAGCTATCTGTCCTGGTTGTGGAATGATTGGGTGGTTGAGTTCGTATATGCATGCCTGTCTCATACGCGAGGACGAAAACGGGCAAAAAAAGAAAACGGCAAAAGTAAAGGACCGAGCGTGGATCGAACACGCGACCTAGGGATCTGCAATCCCTCGCTCTACCGCTGAGCTATCTGTCCTTGATGATGCAATCTGCTTTTCTTGAGAATTATATTTGCAAGGTTAACGTGGACGCTTGACATGAAACAAATCAGACAAAACCGCTGTGCTAAATCAGTCAGTCATATGTGCGATTCATTCATTGCCATGTTGGTGACATGTCTGTTGACTTATTAATCGTATGGGCGCGATATCTGATTTAATATCTTGTTCATATGTGATGTGGCTTCGGGACTCCGAAACGTATATCGTCGCTGGTGTCGTTTGTTTCGGGAGGTCGCGCGATGCTCCGCGAACGGTTCCCTCATACTAAATACCAAATCACTGGGCTCCCCCACGAGATTTTTTTGTAGGTATAGACAAGGGATAAATACTTCTACAATTCAATAAGCTTCAGTAAAGGCTAGCATCCTGTCGCCAAGCGAATCATGCCCAGCGACTCTCGATTCACGTATTCACAACCGGGGTCCGAATTATGAGTCATGACACGAATTGAAACAGACATATAATTAAGCTTAAAAAATTATTGTAGGTTTTATGAGAGTTGCAATTCCTTACAGGACCCGTTCATCCACAAATAACGTTTTCAGCATTGGCAAACGGCGCCATTATTAACGCGGCTGGCTGAAGGTCTGGCGTTTGACGGAGATCATTGGTAGAGGAGAGGTGAAATCGAGAAACGAGTCCCGAAAGTGAACTACAACATCTTCCGTTTCGAATCTGAAAATGTTCTTCTTGAAAGAGCTAACATGCCGTGGCTGCAGAATCTATCATGAGATACAATTCACTCACTCCGAAAAGTCGTTGTTGCTCCACATAAGGATTGAGTCCCGACCACCATGATCTCTTCTTCGGCATATACAATGACGCCACGCCGTTTCTGAGGTCTCAACTACATTAATGTTGTCCTCCGGATACTAGCAATATCTGTGGCGTCATTACTTATGAACCCGTCGTCGATCTGCTCGGGGGGAAGTTTGGCTAAGCTTATGTATGGTACCAATGCATGGCTTCGTGAGCTTAATTGAGAGTCCCACACAGGTTGGGAAGAGATGAAGCTATCTTCCTTTGTCCTACAATTACGATCAAAGCAACTGCCGCAGTCTCTGTAATCATGTCAGCAAAGACACAAAGACAGTACATATGGATCCCATAGGTTACTTACATGCAATCCTCCTAGACTCTCGTCCGCCTGTCCACCGTCGTGAGGGGAAAGTAACACGCCGGCGAGCTGTTTCTTCGACTCTTGTATCTCCATCACTTGCTACAATAAAATTAGCGACCATAGCATGTTGGAATCAAGCTGACGGACCTGTTCAAAAGAGCCCCGCACATAAAATCGTACCGTGGTAACCTCCCGCGTTTGTCCGATTCGGTAGATTCGCGCAAGGGCCTGTTCTTCAAGGGTTGGATTCCTGGAAGATTAGCTTGGCAACGAAAACACCACTTCTCTGAACTTACCAGTGAGGTTCCATTAGGTATGCGCGTGTTGCTACCGTCAATGTGAGACTGGGAGAACCATTAGCCGCAGCAAGACACCGATCAGGCTATCGAGTTCCTTACCCGACAGCACCGCATGATAATGTAAGCAACATGATCCGAATACTCGGGTCTGTCTTGAACTTGTCCACGACATTCTGGCGCTCTTTTTGAGGTACTTTGCCATCGAAGCGGATGCTCTGCACAGAGGCTTGCTTTAAGCCTTCTTCAACAACGTCAAGTGTCAGTCTCCAAGTTGAGAAGACGATGCTAGAAACCTGTCAGTATACGATCACATAACTACAGTAATGGAAGGTACCATTTGGTTCCAGGGGGTAGAGCCTTGATGTCTGTAACAAGAGCCTCTATCTTCGACGGAAGGCAGATGGATGATGTTGCTGCCTGTGGGTCTAACAGATATGGGCTTGACTCGAGAATGCTGTTGCTGGTGGACACTGTGGCTATGGGACAAGACGGCTTGTGACCACAAGTCAGACTTCGCTTGTAATTAGCGCTCTTCTGCGAGCAGTCGCCGCAGATGAACTTGAGACAGCGAGAGAATTGAGGCTTCTGCTGCGACGCCGAAGAATTGTCCAAAAAGCTCTCAGTGAGATCAAGCGCCGATGAGCATTGGAAGCAAACAACTGGCCCCATTTCTCGCTGGACGTTGAACGTTTGCTGCGCGATACTGGTCCATTCGTTTATCCCCTGGAAAGTCTGGGCGGCATTTGCTTGTTTTGCGTGATAGCGAAGCCCCAAGTTGCAAATCAATCGCAACGATTCAATTTGCTGCAGAACATTCACGTAAACGCCCGCCCTAGCTTGCCCAGACTCTCTCTGAAGGGCGTCGTCGATGCTGACAATAGCTTTCTGGCGAATCTCGTCGTAAAATGCCCTTTCTTCGCGACTGAAGTCAACCGGGCATTGCATGTCTCTGCGAGGAGGAAGGCTGATGGTAGCCTTAGCACGACGGAGTAGAAGACAGGCTGAGAGTCGCTTCAGTCTCTTGACGGCTTCTTCATCCTCTCCCAACTTCCAGAGACGGGATATGTCGGCGTCGAAACACTTTGGATCGGTATATGGGTGCGCTCGGATGAACCTGAAGAGTGTCGCAAGGTCACTCAGGCGGTTCTGGATCGGAGTACCAGTAACAGCCCATCGAGCTACGCCATCAAGTGCGCAGATAGCATTTGCCATCCTTGAGTTCCCGTTTCGGATGAAATGGGCTGCGTCTATTAGACTCGACAATTCTTTTATTATATCAATAAGATGGTAGCTCACCTTCATCAAGGATAATTCTCTTCCAGAGAGACGAAAACAGAATCGACTTCGCAGCGTCACTCCCAACGTTCCATTCAGATGAGACGGTGTGGTATGTGGTCAGCACTATATTTACTCCATTGAGCTCGTCAATATTAGTCAACCTGGCTTTGCCGTGATGTCGACGGCATTCCAAGCCGCGATCGATAACATGCCTTCACCGGTTGTTAGTGAAGACGTTTCAGTACGGGATACTTTTTGGCTCACTCGGACAGTTGCTCTTCCCATGTGCCTAATACTAACGGGGTGTCAGCAGTATTCATACGCACATCCATCCCGGTCTTCAACTTACGTGGTGGCGGTACTACTACGAGGGTAGCCGGTATGTAGCGCTTGTTGCCTTTCCCGGTATCTAAGCCCATGTTGGCATCATCGCCATTAAGATCGGCTGCCGCTAGAGCAATCATGGTCAACGTCTTTCCTAGACCCATCGGGTCGGCGATGATTCCTCCATAGAAACTCGGAGGCTCTTCGCGTTGGTGAGCACCCGATACTCCATTAAAGAAACTAAAATAGTGTAAGCGATATCGTAATTCCAGGGACGAGATCATCTGTTTCTAGTGCAACAGGACTCGTTCAAGCTCAACCCAAAACTTGAAGCGAGTCCCAGCTACTATGTGTGGGGTTTGGGTCGCGTGCTGGGGAACTCACAGTCTTCCTTGCTCAGTGTCTGATATCTCCCAAATGTCTGGGTAGCAATTGCGGAATTCCCATCCCTTTTCTCGCCGAAGCATGAATGTGAGGGCCTGCTTTTGGTGTCTTTCCACATCGTCAGAAGAATAACCAAGAGACATTTAGGATAAGTACATACCTCTTGAGGCTTCCTCGTATCACTGAGGGCTGTGCAGTCTCTGGCAAGTCGACATGGCTGCTTAGAATGTCCAGCAGTTCGGGTTTCTCCGTGATATCTTGAAGATTCACGGATTTTGATGTCTTCGACACAATTTCGAGAACTGAAGGACAGGAATTGAAATCATCCGAAGAAAGTCTTTGGGGATTGCAGTATTTGGCGTCTTTGTGACACTCTCGAGGATCCTGAAGGAACACCTCATAATCTTCAAACCAACTAGCGAGCTCCTCGAAAATGTCCCAAGGCCCATACACGGTGATCTCTAAGATGCAATCCAAGAGCATCGCGCTTTTAGATGCCCCCTTCACCATTCGAGGGTCAGTGATGGTGCAGGATGCGTAGAGAAATAGCGTCTTATCGTCGAGAAGGCCTTGGATCATTTGGCCATAATCCGAGAGAATTTGGCCATGCCAGTCTTCGTCTTTAGCGCTGAAGCTACTCGAGGAGTGTAGCTGAACTTCGAATGATGACGATGCGTCTCTGCATAGCGCTTGCCCCTCGCATCTCGCATTGATATCCGGGACCTATAAATGTTAGGATATGTATCTCGAGCATGCGGGCGAATCGGTTTACCATTCCGAAACAAACAAGGTTACTTGTGTCAATTGTATTATGTGCAGGTTGGACCAAAGTAGCGTCGTCGGTATCTTGAAGGAGTACTTCTGTGTCAAACGATTGCTGATCCTCGGCAGGAAATGCGTCTGAGAAATGTTGCGAGTCAAGGGGGAGTGTCATCGGCACCATCGGGCTCGTATGACCGAACGACGGGAGAAACTGTGGATTGTCACTAAGTAGTAGGTGTTGCGGGGTTGTATCATGAAGCAGAAGTCCTGCGTGTGGCCCGTGGACATTCGATGGCCATGGTGAGGCGGGAGCGGAGAACCCAGAAGCGTCCCAGATCTCATTCGGTTGGATCTGGTAGTTGCTTGGGAGCGGACCGCTCGACAGCTCGATGAACTGAGAAGCATGAAGAGGTGATGGTCGGTTGAAATGAAACGATGCCGAAGGGTTTCCGATTCCTTGGGAGGAAGGGTGGTGTAACTGCGTAGCTGGGAGGGGATAAGAGGCTTGAGGAGGACAGGACTGCGGCGCCAGAAATCCCGGCCATTGTGCTTCGTAAGATGTCTGGCCTGCGAAGTGACTTGGATACCAGTGGTTCTGCTCTCTGATCTGATGTTGAGCTGGCAATGTCCCAGTTTCATTA